GCTGACTAGTTGGCTAACTGAGGAGACAGCCACCTGTGAAAACGCAGGCCAGCAACTGCAGGTGGGGCTGTCATCTGCATAATTCCTGCCTGGAGTTTCATGGAGCAACCAAGGAAAGAAGGATCCCAAAAGGAGCTTCTTTGTCTTTGCTTAACCTGTAGTCCATTATCAGCTCCAATATTCGACTGCGTGTACTATGTTGTTGTGAAGTGCCGTCTGTTGGTTCTGACTCATACCGACCCTGAATAGGGTTTCGGAGGCTTTAAATCTTCAAGAGCAAAAAACCTCTTTCTCGGTTGGAGCAGCTGGTGGGCTCAAACTGCTGACCTTGTGATTCAAAGTCTAGTGCTTATCATACGGAGCCACTGCATACCCAGTGTGTCCTGGCTAATAGAGGAAAGTCTCTCAGAAAGTTTTCTATCCACCCAGTGTTCAGCGTGGGAATAGTTATTCTCTCTAAAGCAAAGACAATAACACCCTCTGGTGGCCAATTTGACCCTCACACTTAGCGTGTAAAACCATGATCCTAACAGTTCGGTTTAAATATGTGAAACTAGCACCAAATCCTGCCTTGTTAGAGACTCTTGACACATTCTGATATAGATTTCTTTGTAGTTTTCTCCTAACAACCTGACATTCCTTGAAAAATGTGAGTTAGGAGTTTCAGGGAGTAAAAAGACTCAGAAAGAACTCAAGTAAAATAAAAGATAATACATAGTCTTCTCAAATGAGTAACTATTACCCAATTCATTTTACCACAGACACAAGAATGCAAAGTCCGGCCCCAAGTCTTTGCTCTGTTGTCGGACTGCTTTACTGGTAAGCAACCTTCCAACAAGATCTTTTCAGATTTGCCGTACCTGAGGGTGCCTCGAATGAAGCCCAATGCCATTCAACACTTCCTGCATTCTGCTTCTACACAGCTACATCACAGAGTCAGGTACGTCCGGGTAGAAAGCCTCTCATCCGAATTGTCCTTTCTCAGCAATGGGAAAGCAATTCTTCTTCTTCTTCTGGAGGTCTGGTGTGGCGCTGTAGGATAAGCACTGGACTGGTAAACAAGACGTTAGTGGTTCAAACTGTCCAGTTTTTCCTTGGAAAGCTGTAAGTCAGAAGCAACTCAATGGCATTTAACAACACCAACATCCATCTTCTAAGCAAATCCATTCCGCCCACACCTGCTGTGGTGACAGGTACAAACACAAAAGGTGCTGGAAGCAGGAAGAGTCAAGACAGGAAACAAGATCTGGACTTCTTCTCCATACAGCAAAGCAATTTCAGGTGATAGCTAGGACTTTCTCCTTGAGGCTAAAACAAACAAGGGAAAAGAGACAAGTGCCGAGAAATCCTATCAGAAATAAGCCAGAAAACAGTGAACCATCAAGAAGGTGGAAGAAAAAGAAGAATTACAACGGGTTGAACACTATGTGTTGGGCGCATCTGACAACACAGCTGGATTTCATTCCCACAACAAGCGTTGTGTGATGAATGTTACCAACTCCACTTTGCAGATGAAGAGGTGAAGTCTCAGAGAGGTCAAGTAAATGATTCAGAGTCACACAGCCAATAAGGACTGTGCCTGGGGTATGAACCCGGTTCTGCCCCAGGCACAGGAGTCTCTTTGTCTCCCTATGTGCCTGGAGTGAAAGCTGGGAGAAGATGGAGGTAACAGCCTTCAGGGGATATTCCTGACACAGAAGATTAATTCAATATTTAAAAATCAATCAATATAATGGAACATATTAACAGGCTAAGGAGGAAAACTCACATGGTTATATCAATGAACGCAGAAGAAGCATTTGATAAACTCGGATAAAAACAGGGGTAGACGTGAAATTTCACCAACTCTGAACATTGTTATCAACCCTACAACTAAATATGTAGCTACTGTTCATATATCATCAAAAACAGGCAGGGATGTCTCCTCTCCATGCTCTTAATCAATATGCTGGGAAATGCAGCCAGTGCAGTAAGTGTACAGTTCAGGAAGAAAGAAAAGTCTCCCAATTTGCAGACGGCGTGAGATCACTCTGACTTCGTGGTTTGCACAAAAGCAGCTCCTTCTTGCACGGGGTCGCTCTCCCTCCTCTGCACCATCCTCTTCACTCATTGTGTCTTTTGCTTTATCAGCAGCCATTACGTCAATTCCACCTCATGAAGCCTCTGTGTGCGTCAGTGGGGTTTTCAGTGATTGATTTTTTACTAAGTAGACCAGCAGGTTGTTCTTGTGAGGTGACTCTAAGTTGACTCAAACTTCTAGTCTTTCCGATAACAGCTGAACACATTCACCATTTGTGTTACCCCAGGATTCCATACTGTATGGAGTCGTTACCTTCAACAGCAAGTGCCTTGAGTATCCTGAGGACAAGGGCACGTCAACCTGGTTTGACTTTCATTGTAGTCTGATCACACTGTATGTGGGTGTGTGCCCATGAAGCACTCAGAAGGGCTTGGCGCAAGTTAGCAAGTGTTAAGGATTGTAAACTAATAGCTGACAATAGGGGAGTTGCTGAACCTGTCCCAAACTCTAATCCTGACCCGGAACCAAACCATCAACATCAGGCCCACAAGGACACAGGCTTACAGAATGTGCCCTTTGGTTGTTTAAATTATTATATATTCCTGAATGTTTTTGTGTACATCCCCGCCCCGCCCCCCAAAACAAATGGAAGCAAATACTGTAGAATGATGATGCACACAGGAGATTGTAATCATTGCAAAAAAATGGTGTAAAGCCAATGTTTTCCCATGTAAACTATCCCTCGGTTCACAATAAAAAACTTAAATGAAAACAAACAAAGAGCAGACCCACAGAACCCCAGTCTGCTCCATGCTCAGAGCCTCTGAACAGACTTATGATGCTGAGAAAGCCCTAAATGTCCACTCTGAGATTCCAGCTGCTCTCTGCACTCTCCTGAATGGGGAGTGATCCATGGAAGCACTAGAGGAGAAAGCTTGTCTAGACCACAGTGTAGAAATCAGGCCTTTCTTGAGGCATGGGAGGAGAGCAATCTCTGCAGAGATGATGAACTCTTGGAGCTCCAGGGTAACACATCTGTACCTTCCCCCTGGCAAATCCCCACTCCACATTTTTTAAATGCCTTGCTTCAAAGGATGAGGAACTCTCATTCCTAGCAGAAGCCTGACCCTGCTGCCAACTCTATCCCTCCCCATGCCTTCCACCATGCTCCCCCCCACCGGGTTCATAGAGACCTGGGGCGGGGGGTCACTTCTTGTTCCCTGTTTATCTTCTCAAGGCAACCAAAGAAGCTGCCCTCCCCCATCCATTCTGCCTGCGTTCCGCAGGTCCTTACCCGGAGTCCCTGCGTAGCCTTTGGTCTTGGTCTGCCCGTCCTTCAGTTCCACGGCCAGCCCAAGGTCAGAGATTCGGATATTGCCTGAGAGCAAACATTGACTGAGGTCACGCGTGGCCCCACAGAACAAAGGAGTCTGGCATACCTAATAGCCACCCTCGTCACACACCCAGGCTGCCACTGGGCAACAAGGTCACAGCAGCCCAAGTGTGTGGGGGTAACTGGCCCCTTCCCACCCTGGTCAGACAGCAGAGGGTCCCAGAAGAGCCAGAGAGAGAGAGCTGGGACCAAGCACTATGAATACCCGTAACTGGAATTCAGCCGTTATCACTCCAAAAGTCAGTTTCTTGCCCTGCTTTCTCTTTCCCAAGCTGTATCATGGGAGTTTTTATGAATACCTATGTATTTACCTGACTTACTGATAGGAACGGAAGACAATCAAAAGACCCTCTTAGATGCCTACATCTCTGTTGATTTTCTGATAAGAATCCCAGTTTGATTTCATGTATAAGCCTGAAGGGGGGAAATGTTCCGATAAGAATCTGGCCATAGTCCTTCATATCAAGGATCAAGCTTGTTTTCTCAGAGCATTGGGCTGAGAGGACGGCCAATTTATACGCTGGCTATCAAACATGGGGAGCTATAAAGGCACAAACTGGCTGTCGTGCAAGCGTTCATAAGTATGCTAATTTAGTCTCAGAATATGGGGAGCTAGGCTGAATCTCCACTGAATAGTCTTCCTCTTTTCCCAGTGGGTCTGGTGAGAGGGGGTTGGGGAGGATGCTGATAGGATTTTATGACTGAATTGTGAGTAACAGATATCAGGATGAATCTCAAATGTCACAACTGTAATTCTAGAAGATGTGTAACTGAAAGGGGGGAGCAGTTAGTTCATCTTTCATTTCAGGGACAGAGGACTCCAGGACCATCTAGAGGAAGGGCATGAGTGGAGCCTGAGATCCTCCCTAGGAAAGTGGTGATGGCAGGGAGGGGCAGAGGTGGTGACTTTTTGTTTGTTTGTTTGTGGACGTCAAGTGTTTTTACTCTGTTCATTTGTGGAAAATAAGCTGTAAAAGGGAACTCCCAGGGAGGAAGCAGGATACCTGTCATTTCAGGGAGGGGACTGCAATCACTGAGATGAAACAAAACGTAGGGTTGGTTGAAAGTAAAGCTGATGATCTTGTCTGTTTACCTTCACTCAATTCACAATAAAAAGTTAAAAAAAAAAAAAGAGAAGAATTTGGCCATAAATTATCAACTGCTTACTAATAGGTCCAAGAAAGACAGACATCAAAGATGAACCAAATGGCACCAAAGTCCTTTAAAAACTCCATTTGAAGATTCTATCACCACCACCACCAGCTACTCTTCTGCTTTAGAGTAATTGAACAAACGATCAGGAGATTTCAGACGTGCCCTTTAAAGCTATAGTGGTCTTTATAGCTACATGGCTATTACTGCTGGATGCCAACTCATAACACACAGCTGGAGAAATGGCCCATCGGGTTCCCTAGGCTGGAATGGAACCACAGGTAGATTCAAACTGCCAACTTCTTGGTCAGGATGCCAGCGTTTAACCGTTTGCAGCACTAGGGCTCCTCCTTAGAGGGAAACAGGCATACCGTGGGTGGAGCTATTGCAGGTTCCGGTTGGGACCACAGCAGCCAAGTGAATGTCACTGTATATAGTGAGTCACAAAATGTCGTGGTTTCCCAGTGCCTAGAGCAGGGCTGTTTGCACTATACTGTAATCTGTTCAGTGTGCAGTGTTGTTGCCACTGTTAAATGCCATCGAGTCCGTTCTGACTCATCGTGACCAAAGAGCAACTGTGCAACAGCTTCATGAAAAACTCTGAAATACTGCAAAAATTCTCAGAACTGGACATAGAGACGCGAAGTCAACCCTTGATACTGGGGGGAAAGGTTCGGATAGAACTGCTCTATGCAGGGTTGCCACAAAACTTTCATTTGCAAAAAAACCACTTCTTCCAATGCAATCGAGTGAACAGCAATAAAACGCAGTGTGTTTACTAAACAAACACGGAGCCTTTAAAAGTATAACGAGATGTATCCAAATCTATTTGCTCCTCTTAAAGATACCTATATGGACCACAGAGACAAACTAGGGGATAGCAGCTTGCCTGGGCTCACCGACAGAATCACCCCACCATCAGGATGGAAGCCGGGTGGGGAGAGGCTGCCCCCTCACCTTCGTTGTCCAAGAGTACATTTTCAGGCTTGAGGTCCCGGTAGATGATCCTCCTCTGGTGCAGATGTTCCAGCCCACTGAGGATCTGGGCCGCGTAGAAGGTGGCGCGGGGCTCCTGGAAGCCAGGGTTCCCCTCGTCAACGTTATAGATGTGGTACCTGGGGGAGAGAGCACCAAGCCAGAGGCAGGCATCTGTCTAGTCACAACTACCAGTGGAGTGCCCACACTGTTCATGGGAAACCCAGAAGCCTAAACCAGCATCTGGCTGCAGGGACACTTGTCTGGTGTTTAGATACTTCACCCCGGCTTTGTGCCAGAAGAAGAAACCAGAGGCAGCCCCAAGACTCGGATTTTAACTGGTCATTTTAGCATCCTCGCCAACACCCACAGCTCAAATTCATCCAGTCTTCCTTTCCTGTCCTTACCCTGTTCACAGAGGTTGGAAAAGACGTCCCCAGGGGGATAAAGAAAGGGGAGGAAGGAGGCAAAAGAAATCTGGCTACGTAGTCCAAGTTTTTTCAAAACAGAAATCATTTCTTTAGAGTCTGTATAAATATAGGGGAGCATGGTTGTTCCACAGGATAAGCACTGGACTTCAAATCACAAGATTGGCGGCTTGAGCTCACCAGCCACGCTATGGGAGACATTTTTTTTTTCTGCTTCTAGAAAGGCTTAAAAAGCTTCAAAAAACATATACAGCATCGCTATGAGTCAGAACTGACTCGACGGCACCTAACAACAATGTATAAATAAATATGTGAGCCGTATAAGCGATTTCTACCAATCTTACAAGTCAGACCCTTGATAGGTTGTGAAACCATAAATGCTTTGTTTTGTTTTTCCTTTTTTTTTTTTTTCCATTATTATATTACTTTGTGCAGAAAAACAAAACCAACTGAATAAAAAAGGAGCCTGGTGAGACTAATAGTAAGTGCTTGCCTGAACACCTGAAAGTCATCAGTTGGAACCCATCAGCTGCTCCGTGGGTCAAAGATATGGCCGTCAACTTCTGTAAAGATTACAATTTTCAAACCCCTATATGCAGTTCTCCTCTGTCCTGGAGGCAGAAATGTCCAGGAGTCCTGGTGTGGCGCTGTGGGTTAATGTGCCAGACTGCAAAGCTGCTTCAACTGCAAGGTCGGCAGTTCAAGCTCACCAGCTGCTCCTCAGAAACCCTATACAGGGTCGCTCTGGGTCAGAACCAACTCAACGGCACTTCACAACAACAACATACGCAGTTCTCCTCTGTCCTGGAGGCAGAAATGACTCCAAGGCAATGAGTTTGGTTTGGTGTTTGGTTAATGAATAAAATTAAGCAGGTAAATTATTTAAAACTAGGTGAACAACCAGAAGGACAAGAAACCCTAGGAATTAGAGCTGAACACAAGGCAGCTAGAATAATGATAAAAATGGCTTCAAATTATCCTTAGCATGTTCATTTTCCTGAAGGTATTTAATAGTACTTCCTAACACACCTTGTCTTCTCCTTCTTGTGGGCCTGGGTGGGTTATTTAATTTAGACCTCAACTACCTCACCTGTAAACTTACCGCACGGAGTTTTGATGGAGATAAAATCAGCTGACAGAATGGAAGTGCCAAATGGATACTGAGAGAATGGACACCTTTGTTGCAAGTAACAACAACAGTAGCAGATTGCTTGTATACGTGTCACCATGCGTAGTGGTTACGAGTTGGGCTGCTAACCTCAGAGTCAGCAGTGCAAAACTACCAGCAGTTCTGCAGGAGAAAGATGAGACTTTCGGCTTCTGGAAAGACATACAGCCTAATTGGCTACGCAAAATGGGAGGGCTACAAAGGTAAGATGTGACTGGCTTACAAGCTTTCAAAAGGGAGTCTAGATCCAGAGGGTGTGGAGGAAAGTAGAATCTCCACGGAGTAGCATCCAATCAGTCTGGACAGGGCTGATGAAAGGAGATGGGGATAGGTCCCTTGTGGTACAATAGTGAATAATTGTTATCAAGACTGACTGTGAGGGTTGGAAATGTAAAGGTAGATGTTTTGTAGCAAAAGGAGGGAAGTGGTTGGCTTTGCAGTCCAGGAGCATCAAGGGAGAAGAGCTGAGAGTGGGACCCTACCCAGAGAAGCAGTGACGCCAGAGATAGAGGCAGAGACGATGACGTGGAGAGATGGAGCAGCTGGGAACTCTAGACCCAGAGAAGGAGAGGGGCTGTGTGCTGATGACCGGGGGCAGGCTTGTAGGATACACCCTTTGGTTGTTTGATGAAGCATGGAGGGGATTGTAACTATGGCAATGAAATGATATATACGATAGGATGAATGTAAAACTAATGTTCTCCCATGTAAACTATCACATAATTCACAATAAAAACTTAAAAAAAAAAAAGATTTACAACCTTGGAAACCCTATGCAGGGTCGCTGTGATTCTGAACCGACTCCACAGCCCACCACCACCACGCCTCTATGTAATCCACATGCATTAACTCACTTAATCCTCACAGCGGCCTTTGAACATAGGTATGGTTATTCATCCCCAATTTATAGATCAGGAAGGAGTCCTGATGTGGTGCTGCAGGTTAACGTGCTGGACTGCAAGGTTGGTTTGAACCGCAAGGACGGTGGTTCAAGCTCACCAGCTGCTCCATGGAAACCCTATACAAGGTCACTATGTCAAAATGATCGACGGTACTTAACAACATATATCAGGAAACTGAGCCAAGGAGACTGAATTGCCTGGCTAGTAAGTGAGCTTGATTCTCTTCTCCTCACCCCAAAAGATGACAAGTCAGGTGACTGAATTCAAGCCCAGTGAAGGCTGTATGCCATCCAAGTCTATCAGAGCCCGGAGTCCCTCTCCACTCTCTGACAGCTAGTTAGCTGACTTCTCCTCAGGACCTCAGCTCTCAGCTGTAGAGCAAATCAAGACAGAGGGAACACACCGAGACACAGCCTCCTCCTCTCTGCCCGGTGATGGGAAACTCTCCACTGGCCATGTTTCCAGCTCTGTTACTATCCCCAGAGAGTTGTTGTTCTGTGCCGTCGAGTCGGTTCCAACCCATAGCAACCCTGTATAGGGTTTCCGAGGCTGTAAATCTTTACAGGAGCAGAAAGCCTCATCTTTCTCCCATGGAACAGCTGGTAGTTTCAAACTACTGACCTTGTGGTTCGCAGCCCAATTTGTAATCACTGTGCTACCAGAGCTCCTTATCCCCAGAGAGTAGCCCTTCACAAAACAGAGAAGGTGATGATGTTTGCCTTTACTTACCATCCCTCTGAATCTAGAGAGCCGTCTTTAGTCTCCCACCACCCACTAGCATAGTGGTTATGAATTGGACTGCTAACCTGAAGGTCGGCAGTTCGAAACTACCAGCTGTTCCGCAGGAGAAAGATGAGGTTTTCTGCTCCCGTAAAGATTTACAGCCTCAGAAACCCTATACAGGGTTGCTATGGGTCGGAACCAACTCCACGGTACTTAACAACAACAACAATCCACTACATTAGTCATCCATCCAAACAGCACATACTGGCTGACCCTCTACCCCTGTGCTCTTGCTTCTGTCTGTAATCCTCAGCCCACTCCCCACCCTCTAATCTCAAAACAAACCCAGCTCAGGAAAAGGAGCAACATACTGATTCACAGGGACTTGCAAATGGCTAAAGTAGCCTCTGTCACCCCCGGGTACCTGCCTGTCATAAGAGACTGAGGGCCGCCTCACATTCAGATATCAGCACTGGAAGACAGAATAAAACAGAACTCTGGTTGGGACGCAAGGCTTGCCCTCTGCCTTCTAGTGGCACGTCATGGGCAGCCATGATGGGAAGCCGTCCCAGTTAAGTCCCAGAGACCGTCTCTCGGAGCTCAGACCGTCAGGGCCCCTCTGTCCCTGGTCTCCCATGTCTGAGAACATTTCACTTACCTTATGTCTCCTCCATTCATGATGGTCATCACCAGACAGATGTCTGTTTTGGTTTCAAACGCATAGGCCAGAGAGACAATAAACCTGCTGTGTATTTTCGCTAGAATCTTCTTCTCTATCATAGCACCCTGAAAAGCAAGATACCCCATAAGTACCCAGGTGTAGGCAGGAAAGGGCCATCATGATCAAAGGCCACATTCCACATGAGCTATGCAGGGCGCCGACTGCTGAACACACATATAAACAGGGAAACATGGCTGCACTTACTTATCTTTTTTAAATAGTTTGCCAACAACAACTGCTAATAACTTACCAACAGATGCTGTTCTAGATCACAGCTCACGTGTATTTCACCCTTACATGTCAGCCACTCTAAGCAGTCCACATGTATTAACCCATTGAATTCTCACAACCACCTCTGAACCTGGGTATTGTTATTTATCCCCATTTTATATCTCTCTGTTTGGATCTACTACCACACTCATGGAAGCAGCAGTCAAGAAATCAAACAATGTATTGCACCAGGCAAATCTGCTGCACAAGACCTCTTTAAAATATTCAAGAGCCAAGATGCCAGTTGAAGGACTAAGGTGCACCTGACCCAAGTCCTGGTATTTTCAATAGCTTCATATGCATGAGAAAGTTGGACAATGATTAAGGATGATCATAGACGAATTGATGCTTTTGAGTTACGGAGTTGGAGAAGAATATTACAAGTACCATAGACTGGCAGAAGAACAAAGAAATCAGTGTTGGAAGGACAGCCAGAATGCTCCTTAGAAGTCAGGATGGTCAGACTTTGTCTCTCACACTTTGGACATGTTATCAGGAGGGACCAGTGCCTGGAAAAGGGCATCATGCTTGGTAGAGCTGAGGGACGATGGAAAAGAGGAAGACCGCCAACAAGATGGATGGCCACGGCAGCAGCAACAATGGGTTCAAGCATGAGCAACTGTAAAGTTGGCGTGAGACCAGGCGGTGTTCCACTCTGTTGTATGTACGATCGCTATGACGTGAGACCAGGCGGTGTTCCGTTCTGTTGTACGTACGGTCGCTATGACGTGGACCACGCAGTGTTCCGCTCCGCTCCGTTGTACGTACGGTCGCTATGACGTGAGACCAGGCGGTGTTCCGCTCCGTTGTATGTACGGTCGCTATGACGTGAGACCAGGCGGTGTTCCGTTCTGTTGTACGTACGGTCGCTATGACGTGGACCACGCAGTGTTCCGCTCCGCTCCATTGTACATACGGTCGCTATGACGTGAGACCAGGCGGTGTTCGGCTCCGTTGTACGTACGGTCGCTATGACGTGAGACCAGGCGGTGTTCCGCTCCTTTGTACGTACGGTCGCTATGACGTGGACCACGCAGTGTTCCGCTCCGCTCTGTTGTACGTAGGGTCACTACGGCGTGAGACCAGGCGGTGTTCCGTTCCGTTGTACGTACGGTCGCGATGACGTGAGACCAGGCGGTGTTCCGCTCCGTTGTACTTACGGTCGCTATGACGTGAGACCAGGCGGTGTTCCGCTCCGTTGTACGTACGGTCGCTATGACGTGAGACCAGGCGGTGTTCCGTTCCGTTGTACGTACGGTCGCTATGACGTGAGACCAGGCGGTGTTCCGTTCCGTTGTGCATAGTGTCGCTATGGGTCGGAGTGGACTGAAAGGCATCTAACAATAGCAGCGGTAACAATAGCTTAACATGGCAAATTCATTTACGTACAGAGGAATAGGCGGGATCCCAGACCAGCCCCTAGTGTTTTAAAACCTTAGAATAAGCTTCCATGCTGGGCTCACAGATGAGGACAGGAACAAGGACCTTTCTCTAGACCCGACAGAGACAGGCCCTTCCCGTAGGACTGACACTCTGAATTTGGACATCTAGCCCCCCAAACTTTGAGAAAACAAATTTCTGCTTGGTCATAAAAAAGAATAAGATTCCACCTTTTCCTGACAACCTGCAAAGTGTCTTCTTCCTTATTGCTTCTTTGATGCCTGAAAAATCCATTTTCCCCTCCTACTCAGGTGTCTGAAGAGACAGAGAAATTGGCCAGTACACTTCCAAGCCACCTCGCACCTCTATGTCATTTTTTATCTCCATTTTTAAACCTCATAGTGTTCCCTTTTAACATGCTTTTAAAAAAAGTTGTATTTGAAAGAGGGAACAAATCTTTACAGCAAGGATCATTCCCACCCCCTCCATACACAGAGTAGACAGGGATGGGCAACTTGGACATTGGCTACCCAAAATGAGGGGGCTACAAAGTGAAGAAGTGACTGGCTCACAAGCTTTCCAAAGGGAACCTAGATCTAGAGGGTGTGGAGGAAGGTAGAAACTTCACTGAGTAGTATCCAATCTGTCTGAGCGAGGCTGATGAAAGGAGATGGGGATACGTCCAGTGTGATTCAATAGTGAGTAATTGTTATCAGCACTGACTGTGAGGGTTGGAAATGTAAAGGTGGACATTTTGTAGCAAAAGGAGGGGAGTGATTGATTCTGCAGTCCAGGAGAGGAGGTCCCAGGGACCATCAAGGGAGAAGAGTGGAGAGCGAGACCCTACTCAGAGAAAGTGATGCCAGAGATGGAACCAGAGACGATGACACAGAGAGATGGAACGGCTGGGGACTTTAGACCCAGAGAGGGAGAGGGGCTGTGTGCTGATGACTGGGGGGCAGGCTTGTAGGGTATACGCTTTGGTTGGTTGAAGATGCATGGAGGGGATTGTAACCCTGGCAATGAGACGATATACGATAGGATGAATGTAAAACTAATGTTCTCCCATGTAAACTATCACATAATTCACAATAAAACAGTTTTTTAAAAGTTGTGTTTACATAAGGAAAGCTGAACCCTTTCTTGAGGAAGGAATCTGTGATATTAGTAAAGCCCTTTCTATCTATATCTACATGGAAATATTTTAGATTGCTTTTATTTTATATTAAGTTCAACTTTTGTATTAAGCTCAAAAAAGAGAAGAAACTACAGAGCTCCACTCCTTGGATTAAATTTATAATTATAACAACTGTTGTAAAATGCTGTCAAGTTCATTGCAACTTACAGTGACCAAGAAGCAGCTGGTGGGTTTGAACTGGCAACCTTGGGTTTAGTAGTCCAGTTCTTAACCTACAGTGCCATAGAGTACTCCATTTGGACAGACAGGGCATTTAACAGCTCCAGCTATAGGTTTTAATTTCCACTTTGTCAAATGAAAAAATCTGAACTTAGTTTCATGAATTCAATTGTGTCTCCCCTTTCCCCCTCCCCACACCTGTGTCAACAACTGTAAGGGGTAATTACTTCCTCCCCAAAGTCTCAGACTGTGGATTTTGCTGGGTCTCTTCACTCACCTGGTTTCCAAAATCATCTGATACTTAACCTTTTGGTGAGATCTATTGCCCAATGGTTCCAACAATGGACTGGAACGTGAGAACAGCGCAGGCCCAACAACATTCGGTTCTGATGCACACAGAGTCCCTTCTGTTGTCATGAGTACCAGACAATTCAGCAGACAATGAGGTAGCTAACCTTTAGCTAAGGGGCCAACATGGCAGGAAGCACCGAGCAGACAGAGGCTTTGTGATTGATGGCTTCTCTTTCACCCTAAACTCGTTGTCTGTCTGCAACTCTGTGCTATGCACCGTGAAAGCGCAGAGGAGACCCATGTGTATTAGAACACACAGCTGGGGAGGTGTGCTCCAGATACTTTAAGCGGCTTCCATTGATCCTGTCCTGAAAGGAGACGCTGACACCACTTAGTATGTAGGAGGGGAAAACTTACAGCAACCTGTACATGGACAATAACTGCACGCAGGGGGCACACATCCTGCACCCCACATTACTGAGGGTTCCCGCCTCAGGTAAACAAGTCAATCAAAGTACTTCTGACTATGTGTAGGGGAGAGAGGGGCAGACGGACCTCTCTATACACCTCAAACTGCTCTAAAAATTGTCTTTTTTTCCCCATTTAGCAAACATGCATTAAATATTCTGTGATAAGAATGCAGAAATGAATAAAAGTTATCTGAGACTATTGAGTAAAAAATCGTCTCTTTCTTTAAAGAGGTATTTGAATAGTGCAGGTCCTGCCTCAATTTTGTGTGCATTTTCTACCCTAATGCAATTTAGGGGTTTGGAGAAGTCTTTCAGAAAGTCCGAGTAAAGGCTTTGCAGAGAATCCCCCAAACAGCATCCCCCTATAAGACACTTTCCCACTTAAACTCACTACGGTTCTGTAGTATTGGTGGAAAAAAGGAAAAAAATAAAAACAAGAACAGAAGAAAAATCACCAAACAGGGATTGTAGCCACAAGAAGCCAACGCTACGGCTGGTCCCAGAAGCGGGAAGTCTGCAAACCCTCTGGCCATGTTGACAATAGCTGGACAAGCTAAATCCCCAGTGAACTGTTGCAGGCTAACGCGCTGGACCGCAAGGTCGGCAGTTCAAATTCACCAGCCACTCCACAGAAACCCTATACAGGGCCGCTATGAGTCTGAACCGACTCAGCGGCACTTAACAACAACAACAGGGCATCCACTAACTCCACGCTAGCCAGAAAAAAAAAACAGCGTAAGTTGAGGTAGAATGCCCCAGAAAGCAAAAGGAAGGGAGGAAAGACAGAAGTGGGGCCAGGGACCAGTTTTGATGTAGAATCTTTAAACATGATGTAGACACAGATACTTGAGAAAACAAGCCAGTGGTTGCATGAGTGAAGCAGAAGGTCTGGATGGCCAAGGCCAATTTTAGCTGCAGCACACACGCTCGCTAAGGGTGTCCATTTGGTGGCGAATACAGGACGCTGACCGGTCCTCTACATTCCAATTTCTCTGATACTCGCCCAGCATCCCTGCCCCGCTCCACCCTGTGAATCTAAAAGCCATTTACTTGGTTGGCATTTGCTGTGAACTACTGCAGCGGCTTACTTGATACCCCTTCCTCTTCTTCAGCCTCTTCTTACTCAGTTTTTTACAGGCATACATCTTGCCAGTGGCCTTCATCTGGCAAGCTGATACCTCCCCAAAGCCGCCTTTCCCCAGGATCCTGAAGTCCAGAAACCAGTCTTCCCCCATGGGCTGGGCCTCCAGCCACTTCCACTGGAGGAACCTCAGGAAGTAGAGGCTTCCCAGGTATTCCTGGAAGGGGGCCTGACTCAGGTGCACCACAGTGGCCTGCAGGAGGGCCTGGAAGGATCCATCCTGGAGAGCCGCAGGTACCTCTTTTACATTTGCCATCATCCCCTCATCCAGAAAGCCGCAGAAGAGCTTGGCCTGGGGGTTCAGGTACTCAGCCAGGATGGCCTGGGCCTTCTGCAACCGGAAATCGGCATCTGTGGTACGGTAATCCTCAAGGTCCTTCCAGAGTTCCAGGGCGGGCACATGTCTCTCCTCTGCCTTCAGGAACTGCTGGAAGAGCCGCTTGCCGATGGGCTGCTCTGAACACACACTTTCAAACTCCAGGTTGAGACTCTCTCGGATGGACTCGCATTTGGAGAGGGAAGGCAACCTAAGCTTTGCAAAGTACTTCTTGTCGCGGGTAGGTTGGCTACTGCTCCCATCCAAACTGCCTCGGGCGGCAATGAAGGCAGAATTGGCCACCACAGTCTCCAACGACCCAAAATCCATCCTTGTGCTGGTCCCAGGTCAGTTTCAGGCATGAGAAGACATAGGCCAAGACGGAGGCTTGACCTAGTGCCCCTGGCCAGTAAGGAAGATGTCCTGGCCAGTCAGTGGGCTGCCACTGGGGAAGTTCCAGGCATCTCAGGGGCTGAAACTGTATCAAGCTAAATCCCAGGTCCCTGAGGTATTAGGGAGGGTGAGTTGGAGGTGAGTAACAAGTGCCAGAAAAAGAAAATCCCTTAAGCCCTTCTCCTAAATGGATTAGACAGCTAATTCAACTCTGGGTCTCTTCCTTCTGGGAGACCTGGTTGTTTTCCTGTTAGAAAAACAAACACCAGGATTCCCTAGATTTGCAGTGCTGAAGCATAGAGCTGCCCTTCGGCCTGATCCTCTGGCTTAACCACTTGTGCTCAGGTGATATTTCTTTCCTGGCTGGAGGAATGCTGGGTTGGAAGGTGTTTGCATGGTGACCCGGACCTGCAGATGAGAGGCACCTGGAGACCCCAAATACAAAAAGAGAGGAGGGAGCCCTCAAGAAAAAAATAATAAATTACTAAAGATGGCTTGTTTTTTCCTGCTATGCTCAATTTTATAATTAAAATTTTTAATAGAAAATAATCTGCTAGTAGGAATTTCAAGACAAAAAGAAACGAACGCTTACCTAGGAGTGTCCTTGAGCAACATCATGGTTTCGGCTAAGCTATATTTATTCTTTCTCAGTGTATGAGGACCGCGGCGCAGCTGGTTCTGACTCTGAGACACTTTAAAGGACCCAAGAGGGCAGTTGTGTTCACTCATCTACACCGGACTTGATTGAGAGACTTAAAAGCAACATGGGCTAAAAATCTATATTGAAGGCAGGTCATTGGGCCCCACCTCATTTGTCTTGGCTTGTAGCGAAGCAGAATGCCCAGTGTTCAAAGGAGAGGAGAAGCAATTAACTGTGGGGACGATACCAAGGGCTGTCCCTCTGAGCAGGTATGTGAAAAGGAAGAAAGAGGGATGGGTACAAATCCGGGAGATGATGCACCTGAGCAGGTGCCTGGTCTGGCTGCTTCACCAAAGTTGGTTTGAACCACAAGGTTGGCAGTTCAAACTTACCAGCTGCTCCTAGGAAACCTTATACAGGGTCACTATGGGTTGAAGCTGATTTCAACGGCACTGAACAAAGCCAATAATGCTACTCTCCCAGGAGACCTGTGCTTGTCCCCGTCCTGTCACTTCATAGCATATGATGTTGGACCAATCACTTTAACCTCCAAGCCTCTGTTTCCCCCCAAAAGAGGAAGATCCCCAACAATATAGAATGACACAATGGCAGCACCAATGGGTTACAACAACAATTGTGAGGCTGGAGCAAGCCAGACGGGGTAGTGTTGATTTGTGTTGTGCATAGAGTTGCTATGTATCAGGACTGACTCAAACGTACCTAAAAACAACAACAAAGTGTGTGTGTGTTTCTTTTATAGATTCCTTGGTATTTTCTACCTAAACAATCATGCCATCTGCAAATAAGGAGAGTTTTCTTTATTTATTTAAAATCTGTATTTGTTTTCATTTCCTTTTCTGACTTACTGCACTGGTCAGACTTTATACGACTATATATAAAAAGGAGTCCTGGTGTGGCACTGTGGGTTAATGGGCTGAACTGCAAAGTTGGTTTGATTTGCAAGGTCGACGGTTCAAACTCACCAGCTGCTCCCAGAAACCCTACACTATAAGGTCGCTATGGGTCGGAATCGACTAGACAGCACTTAACGGCAACAACATATGTAAGAAACATCCTTGCCTGGTTTGGATCTTATGGAAAAAGGACTTGATTTTTCACCTACTTAAAGTGTTAGGGATATCAATGCTCATGCTTAACAGAAGAAGTTTCAACATGACGCCTATATTTCTGAGAGTTTTCATCATTAGGGGGGTTGAACTTTGTCAAATGCTCCTTCGAACCGATTGACGTGAACGTGGGATTTCTCTTCCTTAGCCTGTGATTGGTTTTAGAATCCGGATTAGTCTTAGATTCCTATAATAAATCCCAATTGGTCCCAGGGTATATAAAAGTTCTTTTTAATATTGTTGACTATATATTGTTGAACGTCTATATATTGTTTTTAAAAAGTTGCAAGTATCTTCATGAGATGTGTTGGTCTGTCATTCTCTCTTTTAATACTATCGTGGTCTATTTTTGGCATCAAGATTATGGTATCTTCATAAAATAAATTGGGAACTGTTTCTCTTCTAGTTTTTGGAAGATATTGTGTGTTGTTGTTTTCTTAAATCAGCTCCAACTCACAGCGACCCTTATATAGGGTTTTTGAGGATCAGCTGGTAGATTTGAACAGCCAACGTTGCAGTGAACTGTCTAGCGCTTATCCTACAGCGCCATCTCAGGACTCCAGATATTGTGTAGAATCAGTTTAAACCCTTATCAAATATTTGGTAGAATTCTCCAGTGAAAGCATCTGGGCCTGGAGGACTTTCTTTTTGGAGTTTTGAAATTATATCTTAAATTTCCTTAATAGCTGCAAGGCTATTCATATTGAGTAATTTGGGTAGCTACGTTTTTTTAAGGAAAGCGTCGATTTTGTGTAAATTGTCAAATTGACGTATGTAGAATTGTTTCTAGTATTCCTTTAATTCTGTTTGAGGACTAGAGTGTGTGTACTGATAACCCGTTTCCTTTTTAATATTGGTAGTTTGTGTCTTTTAAAAAATTTGTCTGTCTTGCTAAAAGGTATTTTACTCTTATTGATCTTACCAAAGAACCAGTTTTCTGTTTCATTAAATTTTTTTCTCTCATTTACTGTTTTTAATTTCATTGCTTTATGCTTTTATTTATTATTTCCTTGTTTCCACTTTGATTTTATTTTGCTCTTCTTCTTCTAGGTCCTCAAGATGGGAGCTTTACTGACTCGATACTTTTTCTCTTTTTTAATATATATATGTTATTTTTGTTGTTAGGGGCCATCGAGTTGGTGCCGACTCATAGTGACCCAATGCACAACAGAACGAAACACTGCCCAGTCCTGGACCAACCTCACAATTGTTGCCATGCTTGAGCCCACTGATGCTGCCTCTTGGCCAATCCATCTCATTGGGGGGTCTTCGTCTTTTTCTCTGATCCTCCACCTTACTACACATGATATCCTTCTCCAGCGACTGGTCCCTCTTGACAATATGTCCAAAGTATAAAAGATGAAGTTTGGCCATCCTGGCCTCCAAGGAGCACTCTGGCTGCACTTTTTCCAACACAGATCTGTTGGTTCTTTT